AGTAAAAATAACTCAAATCTATTTTTAAAAGTGAAATTCAAACTCAAATTATTCCTTAAATAAAAACTATTCAATAATCTAAAAACCCGAATCACCACATTTAACTCTCACAGCAAGACTGACACATGCGAAGCACGTGACTGCAACTAGTCTCTATCTATAAGTATATTAGATATCATGGTTGGTTTATTGTAGCTCCCCTCACATTTGTACCGTTGAAAGCTTTCGTCTTTGTAATTTGTTGTTCCTTTTTTTTTCCTCATAGCTGCTCTTTTTTCCCCTCCCCTGAAGTGTTAGTGTTTTGTTCTTTGCATTTTCTTCAGTGTTTCTCTCTCTTCTTTTGTGTTATTCTCTCCCTCGCCTTTTCTTTCTTTTTCTTTGTCTGCTTCTTGATTGTCCACTTGTCTCTCTATATTTTGATGGACAAGGAACATGTTATTTATGGCTTTTAAGATGACAATGTCTCGAAATTATTACATGAAGGTGAGATATTTGCTAAATATATATATATATATATATATAACTCTCTCTCTCTCTCTAAGGTTTTTATCAGATATGATATTTTTCTCTTTTATGCAGGTTGCTTCTCCATCAATTGGTTACGATTCTTTCTTCTTTTTGTTTTTCTTTTTCTTTTTTTTTCCACTTGGTTTTTTAACTTTTTCAAGTTATTGATGAGGTTCTTATTTTTATTTTTTTTGTTGGAAGGGTATTGATGAGTCGGTGTTGATTGTTTTTTTTTTGGCACAATTTCATTCCCTTTTTAAAGATCTTTTGGAATTTTCATTCATCCGTTAAAAGTTAATTGTAATGGCCGGATGAAAATAATGACGACACTATAATGTATAGTTGTTATAGCTAAGGCCATCTGTACTTATAAAGACTTTTTTGTTTTGTTTTTTTTTTTTTGCTCGACTCCTTCAAATTTGAACGTGACTGGAAGATGATTGAAGCATTTGTTCTAAAAAATAGTTAGGTACTATTTTATCCTATATGTGTAGAGAAAAGTGCACCTCTAACATTGAATTTTGAAAGTTCCTTTTTAACTTCTCTCGATGAAGTCATGGTCCCTTGTTGGACACTGTATTGACTATTATAGTATAACGTGTATTTAACTTGAAAATCTTGTGCTCCTATTAGAATCAAGGTCTTTGCCTAGTTATTTTTTCAAAGAAAACTTAACACTTGTGACTTAGTGCAGAGGAAAAGTCTCCATTGTTCTTTGTCTCCCAACTGGTGTGTCATGTGCAGAGAAAATTCAGAAACAACGGATCATTTATTCATGCATTGCAAGATGGCTCGGAGTCTTTAGGGAAAATTTTTTGGAGCAGTTAAACTGAAGTGGTGCTTTCTAGCCTAAAGTTGTGCTATTCTGGTGGAGGTTTTTGGGGTTTCCGAAGAGGGAAGAAGGCTCAAACCATACGGAGAGCAATGCTTTTAGCTGCTCTTTGGGTAACGTGGAATGAGAGAAATCATCGAATTTTTGAAGAGAGTGAGATGGTTGTTGAAGACTTATTTAGAAGGCAAAATACCTTACTTCTTTGTGGGCTGCAACAGATGCCATTGTCTCTGATAATATTAGGTTGGAAGACATTCTGAGTTGAGATGCTGGTTGTGTTGTTATGTAATCTTGTTTTTTAATTTTTTTTTTGGTTTTCTTTTTGCCTTTTGGATGGATATGTCATCCATCTTTAATCTTTTCTGTACTCTTTGTTCTGCGTTTATTTTTTAATAAAATTTTCACTTGTTTCTTATAAAAAAAAACATGTATTTGCAATACTTGTATTTGTTGGATCCATAACCTAACAGCTACATGAAAATCTTGTGCTTGCTTCTGTTTAACCTTATCTTTGTTTTTGAGGTTTTAGTTTTTGCTATCTTTTAACTACTTTTGTGTACTTTGACAGAGACAGATATGTAGCCATACATAGAAGTGGTTTTTGAATGTTCAAGAGAGTGGAACTAATACATTAGATTTGTGTTTATCTTTTAATACTTCTAATTGAGTGTTTTGTTAGTTTTAGACTGGTTTTAGTAGTTAATTTTGTATTTTTAGTTGATTTTGCATATTAGCAACATTTGGAGTTCGTAGTTGAGTGTTGGAGTAAGCTTTGGAGCTTAACTGAGATTGGAGAGCCTCGGCCTTGAAAGATGGCGCCTAGGCCTTGAAATGGTTCATTTGCAATTCAAAAACCTGAGAGAAGAGAGCCTCGGCTTTGTACAATGGAGTCATGGCACCAAATTACGCAATGAAGCAATTTTCTGCCCAGGGCCGCGGCGCCAAATAGTAGGGCCGCGACGCCCAAATAGTAGGGTCGTGGCTCTACTTTGAAGCATTGTGTGGATAGGCTATTTTTCAGGCCAGAGCCGCGGTGTCCAAATAGTAGGGCTGCGGCGCCCAAATAGTAGGGCCGCAGCGCTACTTTGAAAATTTTTCCAACTTGAGTTCATTTGAGTTCCGAAAATTTACAAAAATACCACTACGATTCCAAACACTATAAATATGATTTTTAGGGTTATTTTCTAGGTTTTTTTGGGAAGAAAAGGAGGAGGAGAGGACCCCCTGCCATTATGGCCTCCACAACAAATTAGCAGAGCCCTGTTGGAAGAGCTGAGAGAGAAAAAATTAGGAGAATTATTTTGGGGAATTTTGGGTCACTCTTTTAGGATTTTTATTTTTAGTTTTAGGTTTTGCAAGGGAGAAAATATTTTGAAGATCAAGAATTGAAGATTGAGGATTGAAGAGTCAAGTTTGGAGTCTGTGACCTCCATATGAGTTTTTTCCTTCTAATTTCTCTATCTCTGTATTTTTGTGAATTGAGATGTTGAAACCCTTGATTTATTTTATTTTTATTTTTATGTTCTAATTTTCTTTTGCTAGGGCTACGAGATTACCAATTCTATTTTAATTTCATTTCATTTATTTTTGCTTTCAATGAATTAATTCACTAAGAGTTTATTATTCATGGTTGTTATATCTTTCTCTATGCTTAATGCTTTCAATTATCTGGCCAATATTTGAATTGTTTTGGAGACCTAGATTGAAACCCCAAAAAGAGATTTTTAGGAATAGCTTCTTGTGAGAGAAATCGTAAGATGCATGTGACATCTAGCGATAGTAACATGACTTGTGTGAACAATTAAGAGAACCATAAAGCATAATGAATTTCTAAGGTGGTGGAATTCACATTGAGAGATAGTGGGTTTACATGCTAGGAATGTATTTGATAGCATCCCTAGAATGACTATTAAATAATTTAGGGTTACGCGTTCTAACACATGAATAATAGGCAATATTAGTAAGCATAATGAATTAAAGAAGATTATATTTGGTAAAATCAGTTGCCCTAGTCTTTAATTTGTTTGAGTCTTTTATTTATTTTAGCTTTACTTATTTGAGTTTTTATTTGTATTTGCTCTTACTATTTTTCTATTTTATTTTAGGTTGTTTAAATAATTTTAGAGTTAACCAATTTCGATACTTAGTTAAAATTTTACAATTCTCGTGGAAACGATACTTTATTCACTATTTTATTACTTGTGTGCGATATTGTGCACTTACAATTTTCACATTAGGGACCAATGAACAAGTACCTCCCCCTTGGGCATTTTTTTTTTCATCCATTTCTACATAATGATCCATTTTATTTGTTTTCTTTTTTTAGGTCTTATATTTCTAATTGACAAAGTTCATTCTATTCAACTTTGTAGATCACTACAATACGAAACACGAGAAGTGAAAAGGCAAAAGCCGACGATTCACAAGAAGAGGAAAGCTTAGGAGTAACAGAGGAAACCTAACGATTCACACGAGAAGGGGACAAATGATTGATGCAAAATTTTGAAGAGTAGATGTGAGGTTTCTCTTGGCTCTTTTCAACTGTTTCTTCTTTTTTATTTTCTCCGATGACTTCTCCTCCTCATTCTTTCCGCATTCTGATGAAATAACAATAGATCTAAATGGTTAAAATGTTAACTGAACCCCGTGTTAATCCTGCTTGAACTGATTGGAGTAATCTATGGGAAAACTGTAAATTTTTTCCCATATTTTCTCAGTTTAGGATATTTCACTGAGTTAAAATGTCGATGAGAGTGTTTATCATTACAAAGTGTATTTTGTAATGTATAATGGCATAAGGATCCAAATTGTTGTGTTTTAATGCAAGTTTTACTCGTTGAGAAGTATAGTATAGCTTATAATTGCATAAGCATCCAACCATCTGTTATTCTTTTGTGAAGAATAGTTACCTATCATCTTCTTTTAGGTTAATAATTACATTTCTCTTTTCTTCCTCAAAGTGTGTTGTATGGAACATTTAGTTGATGTCTTGATTAATTTCTTTTCAATCTTCCCACAAATAAATAGTAACAACAGGAAGTACGTGATCTGAGAAGTTAACAAAATATTACTTTAACTCATTTTATCCTTAAGAAAACCATCCCTAGTTTTATTATTAGATTATAATAAAGTAATTCAAAAATATTCTACATTAAAATGAGATATATTTTTTTTAGTTGTTTATTAAGACTTGGCTAGAGTTCATCCAAAAAAATAATAGATTTGTTTATTGGTTGTTTAAGTGTTACTAAATTTAGATTACTTTTGTAGTATTTTTTGTATTCTATTCTTATGTTAATTTTTATTGATATTATATGCCATTTAACAAATATTTCTCTTTCATAAAATTACAACAAAGTATCATTGCAGTTAAGACATTATAAGATAAATCACACCACATTCACTCTCTTCTTAATCTTTTCTCAATGAAAATATCCAAAAGTTATTTTCAAAATTATTACTATATACTAAAGGAAACCGTCTTGGCACCGTTCATCCACACTCAGTTTACTGTTTTTACAATAGTGTTATGATGATTTTGCCCTTTTTCTCTCTTCTTTTTTCGTTTGTGGGTTGTGGGCTTCTTGGTCTTTTGAGGTCATTTTTTTCCTTTTTCCTTTTGCTTCTTTGTAGAAGCTTCTGGGTTTTTTCTCAGATAAGGACGACCTCGCTTCTCTTCGGTTTTTCTCGCTTCTCTTCGCAGAAGCTTAAAGAAATGGAAGCTTTATCGTACAAGCTTTTAGCTTTTTCTCTCTTCTCTTTTTTTTTCTTCTCTTTCTTTCTATCGAGCGATTTTTTCTACTCCGTCGTCCCCGATCCTTACCTCTGCACCACCACCACTGTCGCCGTCAGCCCTCCTTTGATCATGAGGCCTGGGCTTTTTGGTCATTCCACGGGCTTATGCCTTTTTCTTTCTCAATCTCTCTCGATTTCTTTCTTCTTGGCTTCTTCGGTGCTTTTTTTCCCCTCCCGGTATGATCCGTCTCTCTCGGTTGGTTTTGGTCGTAATAATGCATTTCTTCCTTTGTGGTTTAAGTGTTTTTGTTCGTTTTGTATCATTTGGGCGCAAAGATTTGGGAGTTTCATTGCTTTTTTCTTCATTTGCCCCTTTTGTCTGATTTGGCTGGAAATTTGGGGTTTTTATCGGCTTCTTCTGGGCTTTTCCACTGCTTTCATTTGTGATTTATGTTGATTTTTTTTGGTGCTCTTAGTGGGGAGCTCTCTGAATTTTTTTTTTGTTGCTTCTCCGTCGGTTTGATTAACGGTTTTGGTTAGGGTTTTTATGTCCTTTTGTTGGAATGCATGTTTTTCTTTCAATTTTTTTTAATGGCTGCTTTGTATAAATTTTTTCATGCTCAGCAATATCTGTTGCAATTTTCTGTTGACTAACAGACGGTGTTTTGTTGATCCATGTGCTTTATCTTCGGCTTTGATGGATTTTTGTGTGCAGACAATTTATGTAGGTCGGTGCATTTTACCTTGGCTCATTTTCTACCGAGTATGAATAATCTTTGATTTTTTTTTTGTCTTAATTATTAAAATGATGATCTGTGCTCCCTATAGTGTTGATTTGTCTTACTACCTTGATGATTTGTACCCATTTTGCTGCAGAGGTATTAAATGAATTGCCAGTTTCTTTCTTCATCCATTATCTAGAATCTGTACCAATTTTAGGGGAAAAGATTGTTTTTCCCCTGCTTTTTTCTTCTCTCTTTCTCTTCTGTTCGGTCCTTTTTTTTTCTTTTTTCTTAGTCCAATTTCAGTCCAATTTTAGGCCTATTTGTTTATTCATTTGCTTATTTATTATCTATCTATATTTCTTTAGATTCCTTACCGTTTACTACTTTATATCTTCACTATTGCATCCTTTACTGCCCTTCATACTTATTTGATGGATATTTCACGTTTCATATTTAAGAAATAGAAATGTCTATTCTCCACATGCTTTTAAAATACAAATACAACATTATACCATAATCAAATTGAATATTCTCTTATGTCTATAAGTATGATTGTTCATTGACAAGGTATAACACATGTTAGAAATGAGAACTAAAACAATGGCCAACAACCAAGAAAAAATATTATGGCATCCGTATTTTATCAGTTTTTTCTTTTGGTACCTCATTTGTTCATTTGTTTCCTTACTTATTCATCTATATTTTTCCAGGTCCCTGTCATTTACTCCTTCATATACTTATTGCTGCGTCCTTTTATCGACGTTGACCCTTGCGTGGTCTGTTTTGGTACTTGCGGTGATATTGGCAGCATTTGAGGTTTTTTTAAGAACTATTGTTGGCACTGGATGTATGAATTTGCAATCGCAATATTAATGTCCATTGTTTACGGTTTATTATCTATGTTCGCATAAACTTTTGCTATACTATTGATAGATATCACTGATGTAAAGAGCTGAGAAAAATTCTCTTTTGCTGCCAGCAAATATTAGTAATCATACTTTATTTTCAGCTGTTTTTTCTATATGGCGATGATGATCACATTCCATTCTGACAGAGTGAGTTCCATCTAATTTGTTCAAAAACTGCTTTCAATGTGTTCTCGCTGCCTCAATTCTTACTTTACCTATCTTTCTTGACTTAAACCTCTTAGCTACGTCTTTGTCCTTTTCTTCACCTATTCCAATGCTTCCACCCTTTTTACACAATTCTTTCTCTAAAAGATTACTTATACATACATTGGCTTTCTTCTCCTCTTTGCTATTTTTGCCTTTTCTTCTTTTCCCTTTGTTTCGTCTGATCTCCCTGTTTTACTTGCTTTTGATTTTTTGACTCTTTCCTATTCGTAAAAAAATCAATGCTTTTCCTTTGTTCTCTTAGGTCACTTGGTGGTCTTTGGACAAACTTATATTTTTATTTTCACCGGTCATTTTCTGTGACATACATGCTATAATCTATATGATGGATATAATATCTTAGAAATGTTCATGAAAACTCGAATCTGCGAAGTGAATGAGGCCTAAGTTTGTTTATCCATCATATGTTGCCAAAGTTGCCGGAAATATTAAGTATCTGAGCCATCATTGCTGTATACAAATATCATGATACTCATGTATTATTACTTTTTTAGGTCACTTTATTTTCTCTGCACATTTCTTTATTTATTTAGTTAGTTATGTGTCTATATTTTATCACGCTCCCTATCATTTACTACCTCATTTTCTTACTACGACATCCTTCACTGTCCTTGACAGTTCCTTAGTCGACATTCGTCCTTCACACTTGAAGCATTACTTCACATCGACCTCTTTTCTATTACTTCTTCAACTCTGGATGCGCACACTTATTCATCTTCCTACAAGAGATTTATATGCATGTGCTTCATTTTCCTCATGGTTGATTTCTATGGGTAAATGCCTAATTCTTTGTTCCCTTTGCTTATTTTGTGCCTTCATTTTGGCTAAATCAATCTCCTTTGATGATTTGTGCTGATGATGTGTAATGCCCAGGATGTTAGTTTGTACTCTTACATTGATGATCTGTATTTCTTTTGTTCCTGAAGCATTAAATGAATTGATGATTTTTCCTCTTTTTATCGTCTGAAATGTGCAAAAAATCTGCCACCGGGAAAAAAAATGTGATGATCTTTATATCTATTGTTTTTGAATCATTAAATGAGTTGATGATTTGTCTTCCCTTTATTGACCGGAATATATAAAAAAAAAAAATGCCATTTCAAAAAGAAAAAAAATATGGTAGTGGTTTTTTTTTTCCCTCCCTCCTCTTTTTAATCCTTTTTCTTCTTCTCTCAATTGATTATTATTTACTTTTTTCTTTTTTATTTTATTTTTTCCTCCCACCTTACTTTCCTGATTTTAATCCGATATTACTTTTATTATTTCATTTAATTAAAAATATTCTTCTCCACTCTTTATGCACCGACTTCCAACTGCTACATGTGGTATTGCTATTGGTTATTCTGCCCTTTATATATGCGAGATGTTATTGATGTGTATTAATTTATTGAGTAAATTGTCCTCTATTTTTTCCACACCTGACATCGTCCTTTCTCTATCCCATTGTTGATCATTTACTGCTCTACTTTATTTTCACCCATTTACTGCTCAATCGTTATAGCCCAGTCTCTTTCACTTCTGTTTGGTTGGTTGATATTCGTTATTTAAGTCAGTGTTGTCAACATCTCTCAGGTACTATTAATAACTTTCCTCCAAATGCTTTAATTTCTGCTCTTGATGCTGAATTTAGTGGTTTGTTGTAATGCTATAATTTTGTGCTATTTTTTATAGTGTTTAGAAAAATTTATTTTTATTGTTGATAAATCATAGTGTTCTCCGATTGCTTCTTTCTCTGTTCTTTATTTGTTCTATAACCATATATATATATATATATATATATATATATCTGTATGGTTTTCACTTAACATATATTATCTTTAATTGGTTTTAGTGTGTGAGAATGATTATTACAAATGATTTTCATCTGCTTTATCTCATGTAATTTCTTTAGAAATTGCTGTCAATGTGCTTTTGCCATATGGACTCTGAATTTATCTGTAGTTTTTGACTACAGGTTTTTAAATATCTTCTTTTTTTTTTCCTCCCCTTCTACTTGCTCTATCATTTTTGTCTTTATGACTGTCTTGCTTTATCTTCGCCTATTTACTACTCAATTTCTTAGGCTGTCGCTTCGGCTCATTCTCTATTTAAGGGGGTATTCATAACGCTGCAGGTACTATTAATAACTTTTGCCTACATCTTCTTAATATTTGTTACATTGTTTTCCCGAGTTGCTATTACTATTTGTTGTTTGCTATGGTATGCAAAAAAAATCTTTTTCTATTGTTACACCTGTCTTTTTTTGACTTCTATTAATACACAGTGATGATATATTCGTTTTCTGCTGATTTCTTTCATAATCATATACATGTGTGTGCAATTATTTTTGCTCACCGTATTTTATCTTTATTTGGTTTTGATATGAAGTAATGGTGATTATAACTAGTTTTGGCCTCTTCATTTTTATATAATATGTCCAAACCTCTAATAATCATATATATATATATATATATGCATGTGTGTGCGTGTGCAATTATTTTTGCTTAGCATATTTTATCCTTACTTGGTTTTGGTATGTAACAATGGTGATTATAACCAGTTTTGGCTTCTTCATTTTTATGTAATCTATCCAATAATTACTGTGAATAAGCCTTCCATACTTGAATTTTAATTCCATGTTCTGATTTTGTCTGTAGTTTTTGACTACAAGTATCTGAATGTCTTCTCTTTTTTTTTTTTTCCTTTTTACTTGCTCCAACATTTTTGGCCTTTTTAGCTGCCCTGTTTCATCTTGGCCTATCTACTGCTCAGCCTTTTAGGTTGTATCCCTTTTATTTGTATTTGGTCGGTTCATGTTCTTTATTTAAGGGAGTATTTTGACCTGTGGCAATGATGATTACAGTAGATTTTGGCCCTTTAGTCCCGTTTAATCTGTCTAAAAATTGTTGTGAATAAGTCTTCCTCATTTAGACCTTAATTCTGCCTATTCTTTTTTACTCGGAACAGTTTAAATGTCTTCTCTTCTTTTCTTTAGTATCTGACAGTGATGATGATAACTGGTTTTGGATTCTTGAGTTTCACCTAATATCTCCAGAAATTGCTGTGACTAAACTCCCCCTATTTGGATTTTGATCTTTTCTATACTTTTGACTAAGATAATATAAATTCCTACCTTTTCTTCTTTTGGTCTTCCTTAATTTAAGGCTATTACATTTTAGATACCTATTTGAATTCAATTGAGATTTGATTTATTTCTGTTAACTGAATTTCCTCATTTTCCTATGTGTTTTTGTCTTCTGTGCCTTCATTTTCCCCATTGTTGTTGGCTTCAGCTTTCCTGGTTTCTTTGATTCAAATAAAATATGAGTAGCAATTTATTATTTAATGACTTCGTTCCACCTATTTCCTCTATTTTACTTGGCTGAAACATAGAACCACACTGCGGTCAGAGTCTGTCCAGCCTCATTGTCTTTCTAATGTTCATGTTTAGGTTCTCTTTTTTAATTCACCTGATAGTTTTTAGATATATTTATATTTTGCTCCGGCCCTTTATTTTATATGACAAAAAAGACATAATCTGTATGGCAAATATAAGATCTGATTAATTTTTGTGCTTTTATGCAGTTGCCATTAATTGGTAGCCATAAAATAGTCATATTTCTTACACCTTTATGCAGTTGTCATTATAGACCTTCCTATTTACTGATTGTGTATCCGACTTTCGCTTAAATTAATCTCTTTTGCATTTATTGATTTTGCTGATCTATGTTGATGATCTGTAATGCCTAGGATACTCATTTGTATTTCTATGTTGATCTGTGATTTGTGCATTTTTTCTTCTTTTTTACTGATCTATGTTGATGATCTGTAATGCTTAGGATACTCATTTATACTTCTATGTTGATCTATGTCGTTTTGTTTTTACAGAAGCATTATGATTTGGGGATTTTTTCTTCTTTTTGTTGTCCGGAATATGTACAAAATCTGCCCAAAAAAATGTATCTTTTTTTCCTCTCTCTTTTTTTAATGTATTTTCTTTTTCTCTATATTGAACATTGTTCTTTCTCTGTGTTAAATATTGTTAGGGGTTTTTTCTTTTTTTTCTTTTTTTTCTTTTTTGCTTATGATTTTCTTTTTTTTCTATCTTTTTTTTTTTGGCTCTTTTGCCGCTTTTAATCCCATCCCATTTCTATCATTTTCTTTATCAATGAAATTTTTTCTTTACAATTTTCATGCACCGATTTCCAACTATTACGTGTGGCATTGTTATTGGTTATCTTGCTCTTTATGTATGCCAAATGTTGTTTCTGTATATTAATGTGTTATCTAAATTCTTTCATGTTTTCTCTTCCACACTTGAGATCTCTCATTTTCTGCTCCAACGTTGATCATTTATTGCTCTGTTTTACCTTAGCCTATTTACTGCCCGTCTTATTCCTGTCTCTTTGGGTTATATTTGGTTGGTTGATATTGGTTATTTAAGGCACAGTTCACAATATTTCAGGTATTATTAATGATTTTTGTCCAAAAACTCTTAATATTTATTGTTGATACTAAATATATTGTCTTGGCCATCACAGCACCAACAACAAGGTAACATATATTCTCCAACTTAAATCAATTATACATAAAAAATGATATTTATTATTTGAAATACACATCTAACCAATAATTTTTATTTCAGTCCCCGATTAAAAACAGCAACATCTACATCAACATCAACACTAATATCAATTCATACGCAAATACCAGATCTAAAAAGATCTGCCACAAAGTAAAACACAATTACCAATTTATATTATTTATCAATATAAAAGACGAGTCATTATTTTATGTACATATTTAACAACTTTTTATCATCTCAATTCCTAACAAAAGTTAACAGAATAAGCTAGAAAACGCTAGGTAATATAATTATCCCTAAATCAAAATATTTCCAATTCTCTTAATTATCAATACCCATTTATTTTCAAAATTTATATTTTACAGTTAAAAAGACAAATAAGGACAAAGCACAAA